GAAAGCTGAATGTCAGATTCTTAGCTGTTTAATGTTGGACTTTTGTAGGGCAAAGTCATCCTGGGACAGCTAGATTGCAAGCACAATTTGTAATAGGTTTTCTCTTTTGCAGGGTATTCAACCTGTTCTCAATGAGCTGATGCCGGATATTGCAATGGGTGTGTCAACTATATCTCTGAAGGACAGGAGGCTGCCAGAGCTTACAGTGGACACAGAGCCTGTTCCGGAAGTTACACCAGGACCACCTCAGCACATTTCATGCACTCAGACAAGGCACATACATAGTTCACGGAAGAAACATTCAGCTGAGCAAAAACTGGATCCTAGAGAGAACCAGCAGGAATATCCTGATTTCTATGATTTCTCAAATGCTGCATGCAGGCCTTCTACTCCTTCCCTTACCAGGCACTCCCCTTCCCCTTCCCAAGGTAACTATTTGGGGCCAGATTTATATAGCCACAATAAAGCATCGCCCAGCGGCTTAAAAACCACTCAGTTACCTAATCACATCTCTCCTAAAAAACTAGAAGATTCTAGGAGAGACTATGCACTTTCTCAAGAAGGGCATTCACACAGACAAAAGAATGAAACGATACACCTCAATGTCTTAGAACAACCTCCCCAGAGGTTGAACTTGGCTTTGGCTGCCCAGGAGAACCCTGGGAATATTTCAATTCATGCAAGGGGACGAACAAAAATGGAAACGGATTTAACATATGGCCTAACCTCTAGTCGACCTCCCCTGCCTTCCTACAGGGAAGAAATCCATGATGAACTATCTAGCAGGAGATTGGCCGACATTGAGCCTCTGGAGAGTGAAGTCCAGAGAAATGTAGATTTGGAAAGAGAAGAGGTTGTAAGTAGAGGAAGAAAGTCTCCTGACTTTCTATACAAAAAATCTGCCCTCTGAAAACCCTCCACCTCCACTTCTTCTCTGTGCCTAAGACTTGTGAAAGATCAGTCTTTGAAATCCCTGGCCGGAAGTTTTCTCAGGCCAGTTTTTTTCCAACGCCAGCCGCTATATTATTTTTTAATTATTATTTTTGTATATACATGGCTTCATTAAGAAGTGGTATGCTCCCTGTTTATTTGGAATGCTGCTTCAGGGTTTATGTTTTCAACAGATTTTGCTAAAATTCTCAACAATATATTTTAACTGGCACCTTTAAAAAAAGGAAAATAAAAGGTAGCCTTTTGCACCTGTACATTAATTTTATTAATTTTTATATTGGTATGTTAAACTTCTACTGTCATATTTTATAGGACTGTATGTTCATACTATTTTGAGTGTCTTTGGTTTTTTTTTTTTTTAAGAAATCATTTCCTGGTATTCAGTGTGCATTAGGCTGCATACTCGCATACTTAAGATGTATTTTCTTACAAGATGGTGAAAATATCTGTCTTTATTTTTTAATGACAATAGGAATTCCAAAGAACAGCACACTTACAAAACTGCTCTGGTTAGGTTTGCAGCCTTTCTGCTTTACCACTAATACAAGAATCCAGTCTAATGTGTATGCTTTGTTTACCAAGTCTTAGGCTGCTGATAGTAGCAAGTGCTCGGTAATGTCTGTGGCCAGGATTTTCTTTGAAAGTGAGGAGTACAAGTCTCTTATGATTTCTGAAAATATTCTTTTCCTTTTGGAACATGAAAACTGAAGAAACACTCTCTAAGCCCTTTGGTTACAGTGCGACTAGTGCTTCAAATTTGTGAGAGTTCTGTAAACGTGCTTTTCTGATTCTTCGTTTTAGAAAGACACATAGATGGTAAGCACAAGAAGGCAAGAAAAGAATTGTTTAGCATTTGACGTGAGTGTTAATGCTACATTTTGGTAGAACAGCCCTCTGTGGGGAAGTCAAGAGGAATGCTCACTGCCTTTTTTCTGCCTCTGAAGAAATCAAGGGCTGCAGTTTTGGTAATGTTATATATACTTTGTTTTATGGACAGAAAGCATACTGAAGATGGCTATAACTTAAGGAGCTATAAACAGTTTAGCACTTAATTTCTTCATTCCTCCCTTGAATAGTTTGGAGTTTGTTGAAGTTGGTTAAACCATATTAGAAGGGAGGTTCATTTGGGTTTTATGAGAAGCTGGGCGGATAGATTATTGCCACGAAGAATGGCCATTTCAGCAGTCAGTTGTTTCAGGTACCTGCCACGTATTTCTCTTGCATGGACTGGAAAAATTTCAGTACCACCGTGTGGTAATACCTAGCAAAGGCTTGACTTGATATGGTGGTTAATTCTAAAATACAGCTCTTCCATCACTTGAACCTTAGCAACATTGAACCTTTTTTAAACATTGTTAGCTAACCTTAAATCTATTTTTAAATACTGTACTTGAGACTGTTGAAATGTACATTTTGTTTAAGTGTTTTTAATTATTTTCTGAGCTCTTTTTTTAAAGTCCCCACTAATCTTTTAGTTCCCAGACCTGACCCTTTAAGGGGAAACACTGTTAAAAAGGAATGAGAATGAACACCTTGTCCAGATAGTTTACACTACATTAATTTCAAGCGTTGTGTTACATCTTTGTGAACTGAAAAAATATATTCTGTGAAAAGTTGATTTGGTAATAAGACAGCACTCTGAGGATAAGATAATCACTTGTCACTTGTCAAGCATCTTGTTAATGATCTGGAATTTAAACATGTTTTCTGTCAAACTTGTTTCTCTCTCTCTCTCTCTCTCTCTCTCTCTCTCTCACACACACACACACACACAATCTGCTATGATTTCTGAAAAATTTTCCTTTTTCAAACATGAAACTCAATCTTTCTATGTATATTGGCTTTGTTTTGTAGAGATCACGGATAGGACTCTTCTGATAGTTTCCTGGATTGGTGTACACTCCCAAAACAAACTACAGAAAAAATCTAGTTTAGATGTTAATATTCTATTTCAAGGTTTTTTTCAACTCTACCCAAAGCTAATTTACTAGTGAAATGTGATAGGATGTATGGATGAGAAATTCAAGGCACAAATTTTCAGTCTCAATAGTAGCTATTGAATTAATTCAAATAATTCATTTATTTTTTTTTACTGTGGAATAACTTATGAGAAGCATAAAAATGTACTCCATAAATGAAATAAGCTATTATTTGTCAGCAGAGTTTTAGATGAAGGTAATTCTGTAGCAGACCTAAGGACTGTTGTACCACTTTAACAACTTCAGCCTAAATATTCCCATTTGAGCAGAAGACCTAAAGAATTTAGAGAGGCTGCAGAATTCTGGCTTATTGCCTTTTCCTATGGGCCATATATAAATGGGACATTAATCCCCATCAACATTTGGGCTTTGTTAATTACTAGTGTATTTTAATTACATCTCAGTGAAATTATCTGTGGACCTTTAGGTAACTCTCCTACTGACTTTGCATAAGGAATTTCATCGTACCTACCCGCCCCTTTTTAAGTCATCTTGATTTTATCCTGTTTGCAAAAGACAAAAAGTATTTTTAAAATATCTGTGACCCAGAGAAACGCAAATATTTTTTCCTAATCTTGCCTAACAAGAAATTAATAAAAGAATTTGTGTCATAATTGAGATTGCTTTTACATTCTGGTGAACAGATAATTTACTATGAGATGTATTTAAAGCTTTTATCTTTGAAATGCAGGATGAACAATCAATTTCAGCTCTTCCACATGATTGTAATAAATTATGTACCATTTTTCAAAGTTTTAAACAATTAAAAAATCTTAATGAAATATTGGAATAAATCCGCCCAGGTGTTTGGATTTGAGATGGGTGGCAAATAAATTTAATAAATTTGTTAAGTCCCAAGCATTCTTTAATTCTGTAATAACATGGCAGAGATAGTTGCTGAACTAACAGCTTCAGATTATTGCTAATCTTGTTGTAACAGAAACAAATCTGATTTGACTGCATCCTACAAAGGAAAAGTAGGTTTTAAACTGTAGCTGGGATCCATTTCCATGCATGTACACTCTTTTGAGAATTTTTAAATCTTTCATAGGCACAAGGAATGGATGCTGCTTCACTAGTGATCAGCTGCATTTTTCAGAAGACAAAGGGCTGCTTCTAGAGGGAAGTGCCACACAAGGCATTTTGACATTCACCCAATGTGTTTACAAATTATTATTTTTTTGCAATATTAACAAAGCTACTTCTTGTAGTCCTGCAAGCTTAAAGCAAAATTGCCCGGCTGGCCATTTAGTATATTTTGTATTTGAACTTGTTTTCAGTCTTTTTCTGCCTGTTAAAGGAATGGAAAAGGGCTAATATCTTCAATAGCTTTGTTTTTACCTTGAAATATTATAAACCATTTCCATCTGTTATGTATTATTTTGAAAAGGTCCGAAGATACCACTCTTACTCTAGTTACTTCCAATGACTTGTTTGTTTTTATGGTGGATGGATATTTGTGGAATGTTCAGGAAAGCTGAAGGATTACAAACCGATGTGTTTCTATACTTGTATGTATTTCTGAAAGATGTTAAGTGTCCATGATAAAATTTTTGTGCTGTTACTGGTATAAAAAGTGCCTTCAACGCTAAAGGCTCAGAAATTTTCTTAAACCAACTTCATGTCCTATGCAAGTGTTTTTTCTACAACCTGCATAACCAGTACTTTGTAAAATTTGTTTACGCTTCAATTGTACATATTATTTTTAAGAAAAATAGAATTTTTATTTAGGTACCGCCTAGAATTGAATTCTAGTCTTGTGTGATGCATTGTAAAAGAATACATTTCTCTTTTGAGTACCATTATAATTGTAAAAAGGTTTTCACTGGTTCTATTTTTCTACTGTTGCTGAGAAGCATGTTAACACTGACTTTATCCTACATATAGTTGGTATTTCAAATAAATGGCTTGTCTAGAAAAACACAAGTGTAACATACTTTTCATTACAAATGTTCTGCTTTTGTGAAACTTTTTGAAACTTTTTGAGCGTATGAGATTTTAATTTGAAACACACTGCAATAATATTCATGACCTGCATGCTTTAAAAGTACCAATAAAACTCTGCATTACAGTAGCAATATCTTTATTTGAAACAATTCAAGTGCCATTTAATGAACATTAAAAGTAGAAGGAAAAGAAAAAGCAGACCATGATGAAGATCCTAGCATATGTTCTCAAATAATTGGAAAGGTTATGGAGGTAGAATATAGGTAAGGAGACAATCTTAAGGTTTTCAATATATTCATAAAACTCTCATCTCAAATTTTAGGATTCTTTTATGCCCACTTTTCATCTTTTGCACTAGTCATTTAACTTTCAGGTTAATTGAGTTCTGAAGAAAGCTTATTTTTTGTTGGTTTTAATTCTATACTTACAGATTTGTTTTCTATACTGGGACCATTTCACCTATAAGCAAGATATTAAAAGGTGTTTTCTTTTTGTCTCATCTGCGTTGGAAGTGTTGACTATATTACTTGCTGCTTGACAGGAAGCTTAACCATACCACATTCCAGCTGTGAATGGCTTACTCTGCCTTTCAGTGACTTTCTGATATTGAAACTAAATGAATTGCCTTAAGACCTCATGGTCTATCAAAGCTGTCTTAACTAAATATATTCTGTATCCTGTTCCAAAGTGTTTGTTACAGAGCTCACTTGATTTCTGGCCAGTCATTAAGTCAAACCACTTATAGGAATGGTAATGTAAATATGGCTGTATGAAATGTTTCAAGTAATCCATATCCAAACTGAAGCATACTTTGGCCCATACATGAAATAAAACGGATGGTTTTTTTTCTGGGACAAAGTCGTACAGGGTAGGGAAAAAGAGCTAAGAATATTGGCAGCAGTAACTGAAGGAAGGGAAAGCACTGGGAAGATTTGGAGAAGTAAGTGGTTGGGTGGGATGTGCCATGCTGGATCCACTGGAGAAAGTGATGCACACCAGCCATCTTACTTGCCTTGTAGAATTACTCTGTACATTTAGATTGTTTTAGCGCAAATTCATACATTACTCAGTCTTTTGTCCCTGGTGAACTGCAGCTGATCTCAATGGCTTAGCAGAACTTCTGGAATGTGATGGTTTGTTCCTGGTTTGGAAGAAACCATTTTCCTTCCCATGAATGATCCTATTATGTCACCACTGGTTATACTTGGATGACATAACAAATTAGCATATCCAGGACTTAAACAAGTCTCAGACTGTAGGATACACAGCAAAGTGTGTCATGGTAGGCACTCCAGTCTGTGTTGCTTGCCTTTGAAATGGCACTCTAATTTCTAGAGTGCCAAACTCTCCCTATATTATTGCATTCTATTCATAGCTTATCATCAAAACAGTAATGTGAGAAGTGTCCAAATACAAAGGTAGGAAAGAAGAACCTGTGCAATATCATTAATAAATTGATAGTGATAAAACTTTTGAGACAGCAAACAGACATACCTGACAGAACTTCATTCCTACTTTTGTGCATGAAATTTTTTTTTATGTACTGGTGTAGGTTATCCTTTAGAAAGGTTACCTTTTTGTAACATCAAATGGTTACAATAAATCTGTAATTGATCAATTTGAGTTATATTACAGTTTGCTTAGATCTAATAGTTGATTTATGTGGACTTTCAGATTCCTTACTGGGTAGAATAGAAAAGATAATCATTTGGCATTTTAACATCCTAGAGTCATAACTCAACTTCATTGGGGTAATTTCTGTTTGGTATTGCTGTCTAGCAGGGATAGATTTTCATTTCCTACTGTCCTATTATATTTTGTCAGGAGTAAAAACATGTAGCAAATTGCAGCTTGACAATATTTGGAAAGTTCTCCTTATGTCAACAAAGATTGCTGAAATTGAAACACACTGCCTGCTAATGCTTCTTCAATGCATACTTACCATACTGCATCAATCATACCTAAATAATTCTGTAAGACAATTGCTTATTATTTCTAATGTAAAGTTAGTTATTTTTCATACCATTCTAACAGCAATATAAAGCCATACTGCACTCAAGAGAACCACATCTTATGGCTGTAGCAGTGACTCTTAATTAATTTAAAATATAATGAGAAAAACCATAGTCCATGAACAGCCAAAGTTTTCTAAGATGATGGGAACTGGGCAGAAACATTCTATTAGATGAGCAAATGCATAATGTGTTTTCAGCTTTAAATGTTTAGAACTAGCCTTCACTATTACCACACTCACCAACTTAAAAATTAAAATACCATTTTATTGAGTTATTGGTATACAGCATGATTGCTGTGAATTTCTAGTAGTTAGGTGATAATTTTAACCAATAGAAAATAGATGTACAGTTAAATGATGTTTTAAACATTCTTTGCAGTATTAAGGATTTGTATTCTCTAACATAATTACAAAAGATCACAGCCATATTTTACAGTTTGGTAAATAGCTTTGTAGGCTGCTCTTCCTAAACATTTGCAATTACATTATGTCTGTTTCAGATACTCCTTTCAGTCTTAAAAAGTAAATAGATTAACCTGATAAATATAGCCTACCAAAAAGCAACTTACACATTCTGTGCTGGCAATCAGTCAAAATGTATCGATGATAATATCACTAAGCCTCTGCGCTATCATTGCCTACAGTTAACCACTGTTTATAATACACACTCTGGCCACAATCATATTCATTCAACAATCATGAATGTCTAATTTTAGCTAAAAGTTGTGCCAACTAATTCAGCAAGCCATATAATGATCCAAATTGGCTTTTTAACAGCAACAGCTAGCAGAATATACCATAATGAATGTCCTAAAACCAAGTGGATACTAAATCTTGCATTCAAATAAATCTTTGAGAAACAAGTATCTTGACCCTGAATGCTAATTCATTAAGACCTTTATCTAGGGTTTTCCTTTAAGTCATAAAAAAATATTGTCACCCATACTGTCTTAAAAACCGATCAGTAGGTATCTTCTGAAAACTAACCAGCTCTTTCTTTGACATAAGTGACAATCTGTGAATCCATGATCATTTCACTTCTCAGCATAGTTACTAGGAAATTGGTGTATGCATATGGCTGCAAATAATAAACTTAGCCTTCTAGGACACAAATCAAGATGAACAAGAAGTTAGATTTAAATTGGGAGGGAAACCCCAGAATTTAGCAGATAACTGTATATGTAGTCTCTTAAGACTTCCAATTTAATCTAGCTACAGTAGTACTGCATCTGATCTACCCTCCTCCTCTTTCGAGATTGAAATTCTTCAAAAAATTGCTGGATGTCCTCTCGTTTAACAACCTGTGTTAACAAAAAGAAAACAAAAACAGGACGGTAGTAAAAATGTATAAAACATTTCACTGATGTTTGAAGAATAATATTTAGATCTTTAAGAATGCACTAAAATCAAATGCACCAATCTAACCAAAATAATAAATGTTCACACGATACTAAAATTTTAAAGCCCTAAAAGAATCATAGGGGTGGGGAAACTTGTCAAATTTCCAGTACATTGTGTGATATTTAAAGTGGCTATAATTTACTCAATTATATTAAATAGGATGCTACAATACAGAATTTTTGAACTTGAATCATTAAAAATTCAATTCTATTGTGTAACTTAGAACAGGACACATTATTTTTCCTAAGTACCCTTCAGATTTTAATGTATCAATGTCAGTTGATTCAACTTTACTCAAAATTCTGTTGGTGAAATGCACTTAAAATCACCTTTCTACCTTTTATACATAGTCATTTCATTTATATTAACATTCAAATTTATTTCCAGATCCACAACAGAAGCAGAAAGAGGAAACTAAGCAGCAAACTAAATTAATAAGAATTGAAGACTTTTTACTGTTTATATTTCCACCATTCCCTTTTTTGGAGTTGCAAGAAAATTGGGAAGCTCTGAGATTTTACAAGACTTTTGTATCCCAGATACCTGATAAAAGACAAACAGCAGGTCTCCTAAAAACAGTAAGCCTCAATGTTCCAATTCTGCTATCCTTATGAACACAGAATTAGCAATTCAAATACCAAATTTTGAATATCTTCTATAATCGTAAGTTCACTTACCAAATGCAAATAGTACTTAATTGCTACAAAGTCTGTTGCATTTGTTTCTAATTTGCAAATAAGTCTTCTGATTTTAGATTTAAATCTTTGTATACTTTCATAATCATCTATGGCTAGTTGAGATAAGTTCAAGCTTATCTTCCCATTTTCAGACCACTGCTTTAACTTATTCAGACCAAATTACCATCAATCTGATTAGTAACAGCATTATACCAAACAGGATTGTAGAAAATTTCTAAAACTGGGCAGTTTGGTCAAGGTCATCTAAAATCTGATTGGTCTGCTTGAATTTCCCACTTTGGAAGCTAGTCCAAGGTCCTGGAACATTTGCTCAATAATCTTTAGCTTCAAGCAGTTGGCAGAGAGTGAAGACCAGAAGGTGCCATGGAGTTATGGAATCATCCTGTAACAAACTATGTTTCTGTGTTATTTTAATTAACATGTGACCATTTTTGCTCTTCCCTATAGAACCCTTCATTGAAGTGTATTGAGTTGGAAATCTAATCTTTTTGCCTTATCCATGCTCTAGATTACTGGTAGTACATTCCTGCTTGGCTCTTAAGGAGGAAAAGGGGGGAAACTGGAGAAACAGTTTATTTAAAGAGCTTAAGACTAACATGTTCCAGGTGATCATTATTAATATAAATTATACCAGGGTTCAGTAGAATATTTACTTCTCAAATATGAAAAATGGCCCTAACAGTCTCACCTCTTATACAGCTGAAAATCCATATATGCAGTCTGCCGAAATGGCAAAGGTAACAACTGCTATATTTTTAAATTATTCAAAGGATATTTTCACAATAGTATTAGATGATATTGTATACTTACTGTTCCTTCATTTGCAAATCTTCTCAAATAGTCTGTCAATTCTGTTTTCAAATCATTGTACTCTGAATCAAATAAAAAATGATTTTATTGTAGCTGTGTATTTATATTTTTTTTCCTTTGCAGCTTGTCAATCAGCTTTAAAGATGTCCATCCCCTCCAGTACTACTTTAATTATGCTAGTTATACTGCCTATCTCCCTATATTTTTTATATTTAAAATATATATGATATGTGTCACGTATATATTATATGTGTCACAATATAAGCCCAGGTTACTGGTTTATAATTAAATAAAAATATCAATACTCCTTATTGCTCAAGGACACTTAGCTTACCTAATTTAAACCTTTTGTGATAGATTGCTGACAGTATTCTACAGGGACAATCCTATAAATTCTTACTCAAGCGTAAGGCTCAGTAGTCAATAGAATTTTCTTCTGACTCAACAGCTCTAAGACAACATTCTACCTTAGTTAACTACTATAAACAATACTGTGTGATATTTTTGTGGGCATATTTTTTTCTAGCCTCCAAATTAACAAAAATGTTTTAGAGCATCAATTGAAAAAGCCCTCTCTCCCACTTCTATTTTCATGTAGAAAGTGAGATCCTTTCCAGACTAGTTCTCTTTTATTTTAATTACTTACCACAGATGAGTTCTACCTGCTGTACTCTATTCATACTGTTAAGTGTGTCCATTAGAGGATCTCTTCTATCTGCTTCTTGGTCATTTGTCCCTTTATTTTCATAAGCCAAGACAGTATCACATTCATCTGTTAGGAATGGGACTTCCATATCAGAATACATTTTCTGAAGAATAAGAAATTATTTTCACTATCTAAAAAATATTTCATGAATTCAAAATAGAAGCAAATGACTTTCAAATTCATTTCTTTAAAAAGCATCAATCACATATATGAGAGCATATAAATGCCTTTAAAAATAGTGTAAAATGAAGTGAGATGGGGAGAAAAAATAGCTTTGTGACGAAGGAACCTAAGCAATTCAAAACAACTCCACCAACCTTATAAATGGACAAACATACAATTGTGGCTCTACAATAAATGTATGAATTGTAACAGCAAAGTCAAAAATCCCTACACACAATACTTCTTTTCCCCCACATTTTCATAAAAATTTATATAGGACAAATCTCTAGGTAGAATTTCAAATAACAGAACAAAACACTCATATTTTACTAATATATTAATTATAAAGAAATACCCTACTGAGTATGAAATCTTTTAGAATGTGCCAGTTTTTTTTGTCTTCCAAAACAGAAGACAATGAATTTAAGATGAACTGAGAGCCAGTGAGAAATGTGATGTGAGATATGATGAGAGATGTGAGTTCTAGTTCCTCCTTAGGCAGGGTTGTCAAACTCATGTCAAGGCGTTATCACGTGACATATCAACACTTTTTCCCCCTTTGCTAAACTGGGCGTGGCCAGCACGTGACACATCGGGCACACGGGCCAGGAGTTTGACAGCCCTGTCCTTAGGCATGAAAGCCAGCTGGGTGACTTGGAACAGTCACTCTCTCTCAGCCCAGCCCACCTCACAGGTTCGTTCTTGCAGGGAAAATAAGAGGAGGAAAGAAGATTAGGTATGTTTGCCATTTTGAGTTATTTATAAAAAATAATAAAGGTGGCATTTAAAAAAATCTTTAAAAAATAGTAGACATAAAATTATAAACATATACTACTGTCTCCTCCTCAAGTAGAAATAGCCATCCAGGGGGAAAAATGAAAGAGCAAGTCCCACCAGAAAACGTGGTGATACAGTGGTTAGAATGATGTATTTCAGGCTAATTCTGTTATCTGCCAGTAGTTCAATTCTCATTGGCTCAAGGCTGACTCAGCCTTACATCCTTCTGAGATCGGTAAAATGACTCAGATTGTTGGGGGCAATATGTTGGCTCTGTAAACTGCTTAGAGAGGGCTGTAAAGCACTATGAATTTGTATATAAGTGCTATAGCTATTTAAGTGTTGAAAAAAGAATAAATTCCACCAGAGCAACATGCAATTTTTTCAGAAAAGATATATAGATTCTTCTAAAACACATATAGATACAGCAATTGAAAAATGCATACCACACATTCTTTGCAGGTGCACAATTTGCTTCGCCAGTTGTGTGGCCAGAAGGTGGCTATATTTTGCTTCAGGTTCTGCTTGGCTTGAAATTCTTGCAGCTTGCACACCACTATTTCCTTCTTAACTGGCTGCAATAAAATAAAAGTTATCAATGTTATTTAATTTCCTTATTCTTTGCTCATTCCAGTTTGTTTAGTCTTCCAGATTTACTGTTTACATTTGAGCAGTATCCAGTTCTTCACCTGCACATTGATGTAGCTAATTTCAGAAAGGCATATTCCACATCAGAAGAGTTTGGTAAATGTATTCAGCTAACTATGCTTAACAGAAACCTTCTCATGGTTTTGAGTTAAATGCATGAAAACAAAACAACACAACACAAAACAAAAAGATAATAATGTATGGGGTGGGATTTATAAACCAAAATGCTGTAATTCTATTCACTTGCAAGCAGCATTATGGATTTCTGTAAATTAGACTTCTCGGGGGTGGGGGTGGATGCCTTCCAGTCAGTCTTGCCTCCTGGTGACTGACTTAGTCTTTGCAGTTTCCTTGGCAAGATTTGCCACTGCCTGCTTCTCAGGGCTGAGAGAGTGGACCAAAGTTACTCAGCTGGATTCATGCCTAAGGCAGGATTAGAATTCATGATCTCCTAGTTTTTAGTCCAGTGTCCTAACTACTACACCAAATTTTCATCAATTAGATTAGGCTACATGATTCTACTTAGTACATATTGTGGCAATGTTGCAGCCAGGAATAATTACAGCTTTTAATATTATGGCGCAAAACAAGTACAGGACTTACCACTGAACATTCATTTCCAGAACTGGTAGATGGTTCATTAATTTGTATTATTTTATCTTCAGTCTTCATTTGATCTATACTATTTTCATTTTTGATTACTTCAGTTTCTTCAACATTCAGCACAGTTCCATTATCAGCTGCAGCAATAACTTTGGTCACAGTTGGAACTACAAAAAATAGACACTAGCTTTATTAGAATGAATATAGTAAATGCTATTTCTACCTCAATTAGCTAAAATATTTTTGCATGATTAAATATCAATGTAAACAATAAAACTAACATTGTTAAAAAGGAAACATAATGTCACTATAGCATGATCATTTACTTATATTCTATCTCCAAAAAGACATTTTCATAGAAGTATTGTAATTACAAATAATCCATACTTTTTAATGAAGTGTAGATTACTGATCTTATACAAAAGTTTGTAAAACCTTTTGAATTTTCAGTATTGTATGATTTTTAATGCTTTTATTTTAATAATAGTGTCCAATTTTTCAATACAATATACTTTTTCCCCATGACAACTAAGCTATTGTATTGAGCAACTACTTCACCTCTTCGCTTTCCCATGTTTTATGCAGTAATAATATTTAAGCTAAGTTTCCAAGTCATTCTCTTGCAATTCTAATGACATCAAAATTGTCAAAACACAGCTCATTAACTTGAAATGTAATCTTTGAATAAAATTTTAAATGTATCATTTAATAAACCTGTACCTAATAATTTACAACATATTAGGTGACTATATTCAGAACTATCAGAAAGCAGTAAAATCTGTCATAGCTGTGATCTAATATCACAGGGCCTTGGAAAAAAAGTATTCCTTCAGTAATATATATTTTGCTGAATTATAAAGACTGGGGACTATCTGTACATTTTTTATGCACAGGTCACCACTGCTGGACCACATTAGAGAAGCACAAATGCTTATCTTTATTTTCTTCAACAATCCAATAATCATTTATGCAAATGTTGCTCAAGTAAGAAGTGTACTCACTCACTGTCATGTGGGAAAAAAAGGACACATACAGAAAACAAATACTTCAAGTTACTGCTGCTACAGGTGGTTCTACAAGTTATTGAATCAGGTATACTTAGCTTTTTACACATAGCTTCTCCATTTTGGCTTTCTTTTTGTAAAATAAATGATGACATGATGTAATATATCATGTGTTCTTATTTATCTGAGGCTGTATTTACCTACTTTTAAGAACTGCTAAGGATCAGTTGATTTTTATTATGTCCCGATATGTAAAACCGCAGAACTCAGAGGGTGCACTTTCTTTTTCACATGACTATAGATGCCCTTAGGTGGAGAATATAATCTCTTACAAGGTTGTTTCTCCCTAACCATAAACTGAAAATTTAAAACAAATTACAGAAGATAAAGTAGAAGTTTGAGCAAAATATTTGCCAGCTGAATACAGTTTCTTGGTATTTGCCCCATTTCAACCCCCAGTAAGCAGCTGACTAACAGGTCAGATTTAACTTTCAGGACATAATTCTTTTCCATGAAGGCATGTTTAGTATTAAAATTCTAGACTGCATATAATAAAGAATTTAGATATTTAATCCCAAACAATACATTAAATTAATAAAATACCACAATATGAATACATATTTCACTTATGCCAATTAAATTAAAGCATCTAATCAAAAAGCTTCCATTTCACTGAGTTGTGATCCTTGGACAAGATTAAACATTAGTTCAACAACAACTGTTATTTTTCCTCACCTGCTAACTGCGAGGCATATGCCCACAAGAAAGGGCAATGATCCATGCAAGACTGACATATCATTTCATGAAAATCTCCACTATCTGGAGGGACAACACCAAGATGCTAAGGAAAAGCAAATGGAAATGCAGAACAATTGTATTACTGACAGACGCAGGAGTCTTCATTAAAATTAGAATAATGGATCTAATATCACAGAATTAGAGCTCATGTTTTTCCTCTTAACTTTCTATAGTCCATGCAGTGTATATAGCATGAACTACAGATACTTGCTGAAATTTTCAAAGCTATCATTCCTTTAAAAGGCTGTAGTTCACATTATTAAAATTTTTGTCAAGCGAAAAGATTTCAGCGCCCAAATTGTATTTAACGCAGATATAAGGACACCTTGTATGGATTTGAAATTCTGAATTCACTTATTTAAGGATCTACGCAATTATTCTCCAAAAGATTCTACTGCAATAAAAATCTGATTTTTACATATTTCCAATTCTTTCCATTTATGGAACAATCTTATTACATTTGCTTACCCTTCCATGAAACCAATCTTCACAAACTATGCACTGGATCATTTCATCTGGAATCTAAAGACAGAGTCATAGTGCTATATTACAAAATATACTATTACTTCAACCCTTCAGAAAAGGGTCTTTGAAATTACAGAGAACATGTAATGCTACTATCAGTTTAGCTTGAGCTGGCATTCTCGTATATAATTATCTATACTGTCAACACATTGCTACATCCAGTTCAAAAGGGTTTGTTTTATACCATTAAAGCTCCATGTCACTGAAAAATATTCATTCCATTTTAACTTTCAACGCTGAAAAAGTGCATGAGCAAACCTAACTCACCAGAAAAAAATCTCTAATGACTGTTTCTAACCTTATAAGTACTTGCATTTATATTGTTTTGCAATGTATTTAGAACAGCACTAAAATTTTAAAATAAATTTTCATGGTTAGAGATTGGGAAGAAGACATACATTTCTATATCACATGCAGTTGATTCAATATTCCTGGGACAAAGTACACGTAACAGACATTCAAACCACTGTGTGATCAATTTAATGAAAATAAAATTTCTGAGAGATAATATCTGTCTTTTTTATTACAGCCTCAGAACAGGAAGTATATTTTAAGATAAGCTAGCCTCCTGAAACTAATTTGTCTAAGAATGGCTTAGTTCTAATATCCAAAACATAAAACTACAGTGGTCTTTTATTTTTCAATTGTACATGTAAAATTCCCACTTTTCACTTGAAAAAGAAAATACGATCAATTAATTACATCTTACGAACTGCATTTGCACAAAATGCATTTGCATCTTTTATATATCACAATACAATTTACCTCATCATCAGGGTCTGGGTAAGGTCTTTTACAAACACAATATAATCCATAGAAATTATCATTATATTTATTTGCTGGATTCACTGTTGCCTTTTCCTAAAATAAATGCAAGACAGTACCTTAATTAGAAGATAAATAAAAAGGAAATTATATTAAAAGCATTTTATTTACTTTTTGCATCCTACTTCAATCATCACAGAAAAAGGCAATAATGCTTATCAACTGTTCTTGATGAAGGTAGATTCAAATACTATATAAAATAAAATTAGGTCTTCCAATTAAAGTTAGCAGGCATTCCTGCCTTTACTATTTTTATAAATGACTCAAAGTGGCAAATGTATACAACATACCTTTTCTTATTTTCTCCACAATAACAACCCTGTGAGGTGGGTTGGGCTGAGAGATGACTGGCCTGAAGTCAACTACAGTATGTATTAAGAACATGCAGCACAAAATAGAAAGACTCTCCCTAAATCCTTTTTTAAAATGGTAGATGAATTAAATTTAAAAGATATATGGAGAGAAAGAAATGGTAAAACGCAGCAATATACTTTTTATTCAAATAGACATTTATCATGGTCCAGAATAGATATGATTTGAACCTCATCAGAACTAATATCTAACATTCAAGAAATAAATATAGAAACGGGTATATGGGCAGACCATAACCCTATGACAATTAAATGGAAAGGACAAAGAAGAAGATCTAGATGGACATTAAACAACGCTATCTTAAAGGAAGAAGACTTTACACAATGGATGGACAAAGAATTGGCCTTCTTTTTCATTGAAAATAAAAAAGAAGATACTTCAATGCAGAATGTTTGGGATACAATGAAGGCATATGCGAGAGGATTAATAATGGATTATACAAAGAAAAAGAATATTAGGAAGAGGCAAACTATTAAAGCTTTAGAAGATGATTATAAAAAACTGGAAAAAGAATTGCAGAATATGCCACAGAAAAAAGATATTAAATTTAAAATGGATATAATTAAACATAAGATGGGTCAGGCGGAGAAAGAGGAATTGGCACAAAAAATTAGAAGTGCTAAACAGAACTATTTTGAAGATGCAAATAAACCAGGTAGATGGCTAGCATACAAATTGAGAAAGGAGAAAGAATCTAGGAGAATAGTACAGTTAATAGATGATCAAGGCCAAATGTGTTATGGTAATAAGGAGAAAAAGATAATTATCCAAGACTTTTATGGACAATTATATAAACAGGAGGATTTTGATGAGGAAAGAATTAAGCTTTATTTACAAAATGCTAACCTACCTAAGATATCTGAAGAGACTGAAAAAATGTTAGAAAGTACCATAACAATGATGGAACTAACGGAAGCATTTAATAGGCAGAATAATGGAAAAGCACCAGGCCCAGATGGGCTCCCGGCAGAATTTTATAAAACATTACAAGAATTGTTGAGCACTCCATTGTTAGAAGTTATGAATGAAGCCATGTTAAATAAGAAAATACCCAAAACATGGTCAGAAGCTTATATCACACTTATTCCAAAAGAAGGGGCTGATCCATCACAAATCAAGAACTATAGACCTATTTCTTTACTGAATGCAGATTACAAAATCTTTGCTTCCATCCTGGCAGAAAGGCTCAAAAGATACCTAAATAACTTTATTCATCCTGACCAGAATGGATTCCTGCCAAGGAGACAAATTAGGGATAATATGAGGGTAATTCTGGACACTTTGGAATATTACGAGGCACACCCTGAAAAACAAATGGCTTTGGTATTTTTAGATGCCCAAAAAGCATTTGATAATGTGAATTGGAGATTCATGTTTTTGTTATTGGAACAGATGGGCTTTGCTAGAAAATTTATTCAAGCAATAGAAGCCATATATGACAAACAAACGGCAAGAGTGATGATAGAGGGAGATTTTACAGATTCTATTAATATAAGAAAAGGCACAAGACAAGGTTGCCCATTATCACCTTTGTTATTTGTATTGACTTTGGAAGTGCTGAATAGAAACATTAGAGAGGATCCAAATATAAAAGGAATGAAAATTAAGAAGGAGGAATTTAAATTGCAAGCCTTTGCGGATGACTTGGTTTTTATTTTGGAAGATCCTCTAGGAACAGCTTTAAAGCTACTGGAAAAGATAGAGATTTATGGTGAGATGGCCGGCTTGAAAATAAACAAAGATAAAACAAAGATCTTGACAAAGAATATGTTACTAAAACAAAGAGATGAACTGGCAGATTTATTGAAAATTCAAGTTACGAATAAGGTTAAATATCTGGGGATATATTTGACGTCAAGATGTACTACATTGAAAGAGAATAACTATATTAAACTTAAACAACAGATAGCATCTGATTTGAAAAAATGGGAAAATCTACAATTGTCATTGATAGGTAGAATCTCAACAATCAAGATGAATATTTTACCCAGAATTTTATATTTATTCCAAACCATACCAATCAGGCTTGGTAAAGATTACTTTGAAGAATTAAATAAAATTGTGTTGAAGTTTATATGGCAAGGTAAGAAAGCCAGAATAAAATTAAAACTTCTGCAAGATGCTAGAATTAGAGGAGGTTTTGGCCTTCCGAATTGGGAGTTGTATTACCAAGCTGCAAATTTAATGTGGGTTAAGGATTGGATAACATTAAGAAAGACTAGATTGTTGACACTAGAGGGGCATGATTTATTACTGGGATGGCATGCTTTTCTGTGGTATAAGGGAACTGAATCGCAGGGCTATTTTAGAAGGCATTATATAAGGGAGTCTTTATGGTTGAATTGGGAGAAAATTAAGAGAAAATGTTATTTGAAAATCCCAGTCTGGTTATCAACTATTGAAGCCTTTTCTTATCCTATAATATATGAGAAGGAACAAACAGTTAGATATGGGGAAATATTGGATGAAAAGAGTGAACTTAAAACAATGCAAAAACTAGAAGAACAAGGCATAAAGATGAATTGGTTTTCATATGCGCAAATACATTCAAGGTATCTTATAGATTCTAAAGCGGAGGGATTTTATGATAAATTGACTGATCTTGACAGGATCTTGACAGGTACTGATGAAAAAATGATTAAAAAATTATACACTTATTTGTTGGAAATTTTATTAGAGGAGGAACAAGTTAAAGAAACGATGATTGTTTGGGGGAAGAATTTTGGATATGGGATTGATTTGGAGAAATGGGAAAAATTGTGGTCTCAAAATTATAAAATGACAATGTCAACAGCTTATAAAGAAAACTTGTATAAGATGTTTTACAGGTGGCATTTTCCCCCGACAAGAATTGCAAGAATGTTTAAGAACAAATCTGAAAAATGTTGGAAATGTCATCAGATACCTGGCTCATACTACCATATGTGGTGGACTTGTGAGGACGCTAGAAAATATGGGACTAAAATTCGCATATGGTTGGAAAAAATGACAAAGACACATATAGACTTGAAACCAGAGATTTTTTTATTGGGAATGTTACCTGATATATATAATAAAAATTTGAAGTATTTGATTGTAAATATATTAACAGCGGCTAGGATTGTATTTGCTAAGAACTGGAAGAGTGAGAAAACTCCACCAGAAGAAGAAACTATTAAGAAAATATTGGATTGTGCTGAAATGAGTAAATTGACATTTGAAATTAGAGAACAAGAAGATAAACAATTTTATGAAGTTTGGGATCTTTTTTATCAATGGTTAGATAATAAAACATAATGATAGAATATTCAGATTTAGCATAAAAAAAAAATTTTTTTTCTTGATATTATCTTTATAAAACATTATTAAGGTAGATTTGGTATGATCTTATGATTTATTGCAAAATAAATTAAGCAAACTAGAGTTATCTCATTAAAATATGAATTAACAAAATTATAAATGATTTTTTTAGTGATATTAGGTTATACAATTATTGATTGATAATATGAGCTATTATGTAATATAATTATACTAGTGACCAGGAAATGGATGCACAAAAAAAAGTGGTAAACCAATCGATGCACTGTATGTAAATTCATGAAGAAGGATATTTTTATGTTTTTTGTGGTATGTTTATGTTTATTTTGTTATGTATGCTTATGTTTATCTTGTTATTAAAAAATAAAAAAAATTATATATAAAAAAAGAACATGCAGCAACTTTTTGAATTTGCTTTCATTTACTATTTTACTAGGCTGACATGCTGCTGTAATTGTCATTTGACTGGTTTACAATTCTACCACATGTGAACATGTTTAAACAATAAAGCAAGGGGCCAAACAATATTACATAATGTATTATTCCTATGCAAATTCACTCATACACCCTTATAATTTATACCATTACATAGGAAGAAACCTGAAACCAACTCCCCCTAAAAGCCCTGTTGAAATAACCAGGGCTTTATTAACTTCCAGTAATGTAAGGCAAGGCAATTCTTTAGAAGATCTATTCCAGAGAGAGAGAAAGTTCTGCCTCTGAGAATCCTACAGTTGACACTCTTTGAAAGAGGGAATCTGTAAGGAGCCCAGATTGGAACTGAATTATTAGAAATTATTGTAGAAATTATTGGGGGGAGGAGATCCCAAGTAGCAGAAAACAAGTGTTAACTAGTGCAGATCTTGAACTGGCTGTTACATGAATGAAAAAAAGGCATGCACATAATTACTTAATTCCAAACTAACTGTAGCTTCAAGGGCAGTCCCATGTATAGTTACTGCAACAGACTTTTTGTGAAGTGACTAAAGCATCAGGGACTATGAAAAGGTCTTCTCTATGCTCTTGTTTTGACAATAATTCCAGCTGCTTGGATTTCTCTTGCAGCCTCCAAATGGACTTCTTAGTACAAAAAGCTTTAAGTACACAATAATTTTCATAATTTACAATTGAAATCAGATAAATAATAAGTTTGGCTACCACTTTTCTCTCAAATGTAAACCTAATATTTATACTTACAGGATGTAGTTTGCATTTCAGACTTTTGAATTTGCTGTTTCCACAATCACAACAAAAGTTTCTGGGGGGAAAAAGGGAAAATTCTAAAAGATGTTAGAAGCAAGCTATATTCAAAATTGATGGAAAATATCTTCAAAAAAATTATTAAATTGTAATTATTAAATTGTATTCACTGTTCATTTTTTCAAACCAAAATAAATGTCTAATATAAGTATTTGCACAGCTAATTTCAGTTATAGTCCTAAAGACATCATGAAATTTTCAAAGCAACTCTTTAACTATATATTGTGGTTATATTTTGTACTGAAGTAGCACTCTACTCTTCTCTAGCTGGAAATTAGGAACTTGAACATTATATTTATTTACTCAAGCATATCACTTTTAAAATACACTGATGTAATAATATCTTGAGCCCAATAAACCTCTTTCTAATGAAGTGTCTCAAAGGTTTCTGTTTCTTTGTTAAAAAAGGCAACTGTATTCTATAGGCAATCCTCAACTAACAACCATTTGTTCAGCAACCATTTGTTGCAACATCCCCAAGGTCACATGATCAAAATTCAGACCTAACTGCACTTCAACTCCCACCTATTTTCCCTCCATCTCTGCCCTTTTGGGTGCCTTGCACTTCACCACATATTTCCTGCACTCTGTGTTTTGTATTCTTCCATGTTCCTTCTTGTAAAAGCTCAGTCTTTTCTTTACAAATACCAAAAAAGAAAAATGAAAGAATCGCTCCATGCATGTGGCAGAGGCTGCAAGGAAGATGGGGCACAGCTGCAGGCTAATACAAGAACAGCCTCTCTGTCTCGGAATCCCAGCACCCAGCACATATGGCAGTATGTCGGCATCTTTGTGGGAAACAGGATATCTAAGTTGCAAGGGATCTCTTGCATGGAGCCTGGGAACAGAAGCCCTTCAGAATCCTGGTGGAAGCAGAAGGGCCCAGAACCACAAACCAGCCAAGGAATCGAGTACCCCACCCCAATCAAGACTTTAAACATAGGTCCGCATCCTTCTTGCTACACGGCCAATAGCACTTCCCTTGTCACATGCGCTGAGGATTGATCCAGTAGAATCCACCCCATACATGATGGCTCAGAGCATATGCTAAACTGTCTTGGTTGGCAATACTTGTGGCTTAGGAATCAATCTACCACCACTAGGGCTGCTGGCTCCAAATGCCACACAAGAGGAACTGGGTTGCTTAGATATCCCAGGCCTACTGCATGTGGCAGTAAGGGCATTTTTGTGGGTATTGGGATACCAGACAGACTCCTCTTATATGCCTCAATCAAGGCTAAAAAGCCTCTACTTGTGCCCCATCTTCCTTGTGGCTCCTAGCACTGCCTTTGCCATACATATGCCAGGGGGACTCATTTTTCCAAGTCAGTATTTGCAAAGAAAAGACTCCACATTTACAAGCAGGAACAAGGAAAGATACAAAACACAACAGAGGATGCAGGACTGATGCAGAAATTTTGTGTTGGGAATATATTTTTTTCTTCTCTCCAATGCCTAACTCAAATGCTTATCTGCTGGCTGCTCTCATATAGATAAACAAGCAGCGGAATTGGGGAGAGTTCTCAGGCACCTCTCCTTGATTGGCCAGTATCATATACTATTCGCCTTCTGATTGGTTGAAGCATTCAGCATGCCTGACCCAAGGTAGAGCATTCACCCTGTCCCAGTCGACTTTTCAGAAAGAAAGTTGGGTCAAGAGCAAACAAAGAACCTGTGGGTAAGCACTCAGTTTTCTTCTATTTCTTGTTAAAGCCCACAGATCCAATTTTCAAGGAGCATTTCCAACACAAGCTGCAGATTGTGTGCTGTGCCTCCCAGAAGCACATGTCTCTCTCCTCCTTCCTCTGATCCAAACAGCACCCACCACAC